GTCTTATCGTTCCCACCCCCGCTTTGTTCCTATGCCGCACTAAAAACCCCCGATGGTTTACGACGCGCCGTTCCTGCCGGGCCTTTACGGTGATCGTGATGACTGAAAGGACAGGCCCGACGTATCCCGCATCTTATTTGGCAACGGACGTGGGCAAATTTCGTTCGGAATGAGAGGTCACGAGCGAATACGCCGTGCGAGAGATTTATTCGATCGGATACTAGCGACGCGGACGCTACGAGGAAACGCGGTCGCGAGGATTTCAAATAAAATTGTACCGCAACGAGGATATTACCGCAAATTATATCTTGTAAACGTATCGTTCTCGAATGATCATGGAAACGTCAGCGCGGCGGATTTAGACGCAAAGAGGCTCCTTAATATCAAACTGGTTTGTTTAACGACCCTGTGCCTCTTTTCGCCAGACCGTTACGCCGACCCGACAACGTCGACCAACTGTAACAGCACACCGTACGTATTGTAAAACGCGTGTCTCCAGGTATCGTTTATCGCTCGATCGAGATACGTATTACTTAATCCCGCCCAACCGCTAGAAATGAAAACCGTACACTTTACCGACGCGCGCCATATTTCAACCGATACAGCCCCGTTATCGGCCGATCGCGTATCCGCCTGCGTTCGTTTGATCCATTCGTCGTTTCCGAGTTCTTTCAAGTTGAAAGTTTCAACGCGTCGATCCTTTTTCTCCACCGATCCGAATCTGTTCCGCGCGCGCGCGCGAATCGTTCGTTGCTCGAGTTTCGAGTGTTCGGAGATCGATGATTTCGATGGTAATTGAAAATTGAAGTCGGGGAGATAAACAAATGTTCTGCATAGGGTCGGGATTCTATAGAAATTCGATTTCTCGTCCTAAGAATTATTCGAAATTTGGTAACGAAAGACGTCCAAGTACCGGGTCAGGAAAGATTAAAAGTTGCGCGTTTTCTTTTATAGTGGTTCTTGGTAAGAGTTTTCCCGAGCTTTAGTGACCAGCGGCACCCGACGGCGGGCGGTCAATTTTCCACCAAAACGCGCGGCCGATAATGCGTTAAAAAGGATTCGGTTTGAGAAATCGCCTGAAGGTGGAACGACGTGGCCGAGCGACCAGGTAAGGGAGTTGGGTGGTTCCGAGGGTGGAGGTTGGCGGGGCTGGTTCGAGCAAGAAACCCAACGACGATTTGTCCGTTAAGCAAGGCTAACAGGCGCGACTTACCGTGAATTATTAAGCGTTTGCAGTTCGCGCGTCGCGTGTTCGCCGCCGTGAGCAAGATAAAGCGACAGGCGAAGAAGCGAGTGGTACGTATATACCGGAAGGCTGTGCCTCGTCAGCGGAGCCGATTAATCGCCCCAGGAACCAGTTTGTCGGAAATAAAATCTGCTCAGTGGAATCGTGCTTGACCGTGCGACGTCATCGTGCCGGCCTTCTCGTTTTAAAAGTGTGCCCTACAGGGGCGCGTCGACACCACCGCGTGCTCTCTTCCCCATCCCGTCCTCTCTCTTGCTCTCGTCGTATCATCGCTATCATCGGGGCTTCCCCGATCGTGCATACCGCTCTGCCCGATCGAAGGGGATTCTTCGTCTATCAGGCCAACTTTCAACCGACCAATTTTACGCACTTCGTCGAAATAGTAGCTTCTCTTCTCGCAACGGTAGGATTAGTAAGTAATTCTAAGTAAGTAAGTAATTCTAAGTAAGTAATTCTAAGTGTTGGTGTGATTATGGTTATCAGAGCGTTGATCGCATTGTTTGGCAGTGTCCACTCTTCGAAAGGCAAAGAGTCAAATTGTTACAGCAACTCTGTTAACTTGAATTATATTTGCCCGTCAATATGTCTGTTTTGATTACTGAACCGAACGTTGCGGCGTGTATTTGTGTTATGTCTTTTTTGAATAATTGTAATATTAACGTATAGTTTCGGACATGTCAACAAAATTTAGTTCTATATGTATATATTGAGCGAAGCGGAAAATAATGTCGTTTTTGCAATTCTAAATACTTGTTTATCCCGTACTTGTTTATCGTTCGTCAGCTTATTGATTTTCATCGATCTGGCATCGACAATTTCCACGCTAGATGGCAAAAGGCTGTTGATAACGGGAGCGGATTATACAATTAATAATTAAAAATAGAAATTTATAAAAAATTTGTTTGAATTTAACGTAAAAGAAACGACGTTACTTTCCAGTCCACCTAATACAATCAACAACATGTAAAGCGAGTAAATCTCTCGTGTGAGATTTAAAAGCTTCAAAAATAAAAAAAAAAAAGAAATAGCTTCTCTTATATTCCGAGAACTTGTTCCTTCTTACTCGAAATTGTCGACCGAAGTTTGCCCATCCCTGGTCGAAAACTACGCCTAGCTTTTCTTAGCCAACCCTATTCTAACCTAAATCGACGTTCGTTGTAACGATTCACGAGCAAATAGATCCCGTCGAAAGATCGAATAACCATCGCGCGATATCGACGAACAATAGGTGAAACGATCTGTAGAAAATTGTCCTTCGAATCGAACGTTTCGTCATCATCCTCCGTGCGTACGTGCCTTTCTATGTACGGAAACGTGATCGAGGCTTTATGCTCGCGAATATCTCGTGCGCTTCGCAATAGTATATTTCAAATGCTAAAATAAACGCTTACGTTGCGGGGAACCTATATACGCCGGTCTCGTAAAAACGCCGCATAATCTTATAAGGCGGCCGTATCAAACTTGCGTTTCACAGTCGACACGATCGGTTACACGGGACTTTCGCGGCTATGCTTTTTGCCACTGCCGTCTCTCGCGAGATCTTACAAAATCGTTGCCGCGATAAATTCACGCTCCCATCGCGTACCAACCGGTAACGAACGATCGTTAATCATGAAATCGCGAAACTGGACCGTCCGGATGGAAAAAAAAAAAGAACCTTTCATTAGGTTTCGGTTTCGCAAAGGCCGACCGCAATAGTTGCGGCGGAGTAGGACTGGACATTAAGAACCATTAAGACTGTTTCGACGCCGGAGAATTAACTGTGGATCTAACGGAAGCTAGATACAGCGTTACTTGGTCGGAAGAGAAATCCGATGAAATTTTCCTACTCGATCGATAACACTGTGCTGGAAGTTCGAGAGGAAGTACGTGATCTCGGTGTCACGAACTTGGTGGTTGTTTACCTCGAACTTCTCCTTCGTAACGCATGTCCAACGCACGAAAAACGTCGCTCTTAAAGCTCTGGGGGCTTCATCTTACGACAATCCGCGGATTTCAAACTCCCTCAGACCTTTGAAATTCTTTACATCTCTTTAGTTCTATCGCATCTTGAATACGCATCTCAGATCTGGAATCTTTAAGGCACGTTTCTTATAAGATAGGTACACCGATGGATATAGCAAACCACGACTACGACGATATACTTTGCACCATGCGAATGCTCACGCTTAAGCAGCGCCGAACTGCAGCCGACCTCATGCTAGTTTTTCAAATTGTCGATAGTAAAATTGAATGTCCCAGGATACCGAAACTATCGAAATTTGATATTCCAAGTAGGCAACTTCGAAGCAGCGATATTTTTTACAATGATCCCTATCGTACCTCGATTGCGAAAGAAAATTGGATTACAAGAATACGTGCGATGGCTAACGGCCTTAATACGTCTGTTGATCTATGGTGGTTGCAATTTTGCAGACGCGCAATCAAGTTTGAACACGTTACATTCTAAGATACCGTAATCGTCTCCATTTTTGTTTTGTTTCTCTTGTTGTCATTGTTATTACATTGTACTTGATATCAAGGGCAGATCGCCCGTAAATAAAGTATCATTATTATTACTTCGAAGCAAGGATAATCGACATTTCGGAACTCTTACGATCGGTCTACTTATGGCGCCGTGATTACGATTTCAAAGGACAGTCGGAAATGGTGGAGCACGAGGGTGCCAAGAATCCTCGGCAAACTTTGCCACGCGTCTTCCGACGGAAATTATCAACCGTCTGAAACTTGAGTTCTCTCCGAGCGGACATTCTGATCCGACAACTGTAGATCGCGAGATTACCAGCCGCGAGAGCCGTGTTCTCGATCACTGGCTACCGCGAATTAATGTTTCACTCCTTTCTACCTATCCGGACGCGCGTTAATCTTCGCAACCGAGTTTGTGGAACACACCGCCCCGTTTCGTCGACTCGTTCCCCTTTCTTCTACTCGTTTTTTTTTCTTTTTTTTTTTTTTTTTATTTATTTACCTTGCACGCAGCTTGAAACGTCGTACACGTTTAACTCTATCCCGTTTCGCATCGAAGAATTATTTTCGTACGGGTTCTCTTTACTAAACAGCCACCGGATGTGACTAGAGACCGATTCTGATCGGTCACCGTCATTTCTCAGTAATTTTTCAGCCACGTACGGTCACACGCTGCGCTAATCGTATCGGCGCGACCGAAACGTCGATTACCGTTCGTCTAAATTAATTTAACCCGTATGTGGGTGACAGTGCTTTTTCACCGATGAACTAAAAAAAAAAATGAATTCTGAAAGTCGAGCTTCAAAGGAAATGAATTTAAATGAAATTCGTGTATTTCGATGAAGTTACAAAAATAAATACCACGACGGATGTTTGATCACGTAGTTTCCAATAGTCTGAATGATATTTAATCCTAGCAGAAATTTTTAAGAATATTTCTTTGGCAACGCGTTAAATCTCTCCAACTTTTTCGAAGTCCCTCCATAGAATGAGTCTATATTCTCATTTTTTTTTTTGTTTTGTTCAAATTGAATATCGCGCAATTAGCTGAAAAATGGCGGAACCTGGCCCCAGCCTTGACGTTGTTTCGTGACTCTGATTAAGGGGTACACTCTGGGTAGAAAAAAAAAAAAAAAGAAGAATTGTAACAACCCGTTTGAATAATTCGCGAGCCAAGAGGTGCCCCTACGAAGAAACAATGGAAAGAAAGACGTAACCTTCGAAAGGCATGTAGCGAGATCTTATATCTGAACCGGTAGGCATAAACAATTGTGTTGTACAAACTCACCACCAGTTGGCCTGCGCACCGTTTTGCCACGCGACGAGCAGCAACGGGACGAGCAATAAGGTCGTCGCGACGGGCCGCATCTTCGTCGTCGATGTTCGAATTGGCTCGCTGTCGAGTGAAAGATCGTCGGTCGCTCGATGACGAAAACGAAAACAAAGGAGAAGGACGTCCTCTCGCCCTTGCTTCAGCCACGCATTCTCACCAACGTCGATGCCTATCGAGGATTCGCCGCGGCGGTTGATCCCGAGGCTGACAGATCGAGATCGAACGTTGTCCGTGGTCCGATCCGATCGCTGTTTATCTCACGCACCCAGTTTTCCACAAAGAAATACCGCTTTCTCTTTATTTGCTTTCGATCGTCTATTTGATTCTTACATGTTTATTCGCGCTCGAGTATGCGTATCACTGGCCGCAACGAGAAACGAATCCGAATCTGTGTCTCCCGACCCGTGCACTTTTCTCCCCCGCGGAGACGAGCGAAATACACGGAAACGAGAAATCGCCGACGAGATTGCTTTCGATCTATTACTCGGTCAGGGAACGAGATTACATTTCGCGCGGAGCGAACGGAACCTCGAGCGACCGAACCGACCTCGATCGAATAAACAAATTGACGAAAAACGCGGTTACTCGGATAGAATTTTGCCCATCACTGACACGAAGTTACGGAAACCGCGCTTTTCAAACGGGAGCAACGTGGCGCGTTACGTGCAACGATTGGAGAGAAGCGCGGACGGCGAGACGAGTCGATGAATAACCGCGGATTAAATAATGTGCTCGATTTTATCGTTCGCGATGCGTCAAACGTAGCGAAACTTAACGCCAAAGCGAAGCTGACGCGAACGAGATGACACTCCGTGAACGCTCGCGTACGTACTGTGGCCGGTAGTCACGAGGAAAAGGGCAACGGGGCTCTCTCGAGGGGCGGGGCCTCCGGTGACTAGCGTGCACGCGATTGGCTGGATCGCACAACAGCCACCGGAGGCTCCACTCGTGTTAATTAAGCATTTCGGCACACCGTCCCGTCTCCGACGTTCGCGCGTAAGGTAAAATATCCAGTAACTCGAACGCATTTCGAAGTATATCGTGATCGACTTCGACTTTGCCAAATAATTATTAAGTTAATTAAACAAACAACCCTAACCCTATGACAGTACCGGATTTAGGGACGAGCGCGCCCGGGCATCAGAGATGGGCAAAACCCTAGACTTCGAATAAATCTGAAGTTTGCCGATATATTTGTCTCGTTTCCTTCTTTGGAAAATTTTCAAAAGAGGAAAGGAGATAGACGTATCAGCAAACTTCAGATTTATTCGAAGCTTGGGGTTTTGCCCATCACTGCTGGGCATCGCCAAAGCGCTTCAGAGGGCGCGGGCTCCCCGAAAGTAATTCGAACATTCATCAACTTTTATGTTGCAACGTTTCATTGCGATAATCTTAATATCAAATAACGATAAATATTCGCAGGTTACAGGTAAATTTATTTCGTTTACGTACCGCAGAGTGTATCTCATTTCGCAACGAATATAGAACAGTTAGGTGGAACATGACGCCATGTATGAAACGCGTAGGAAAAAAAAAACAACGATAAATAGCAATAGCAATACGTAATAGCAACACGATCTATATTAGTAGTAATATTGAACGTCATTGCTTGATTCAAAGTCGTAATTACAATAAAAAGACCTGGTAAATTGAGAACATTTACTTGAAGTACTCATAGTACTTGAATAATCTATTTCGACGATCTATTTCGATCAGCAGTAGCTGAACACAATTTCATTTTAATTGTACCGTGTAATGATATTCGCTAATATATTATCTACTTTTTATAAGTGATTCGAGGGTTAGCACGTCAAGCACCAGCTCGATCACCGTTGACTGGCGATATGTACCAACCTATGTCGCTCTCACATTAATTTTATAAAACTTTATAAATGGCTGAATTTCCCTTCGGACGTATCATGTGAGATATTCCGCGAATAGAAAACTTTGGTTATATTAGAATGTTCTACAACAATGTTATACTACTCACTTATTTTTTAACAGGCAATTCTGGATTAGATTCGGGTAATTCTCCTGACACTTGCCGCGCATCATAGGGCTATAGGTTAGTTTTGCGTAACTGTTCCTTTCCAATTCCATCGAAACATAAACCAGGGAGTAAAGAAGATGCGTTTCTAAAAAACATCAAGAAACATACGTATTATAGCATACAGATTGTAATAACATACATACATGGAAGATGTCTCAAGATGTCACACGTCGCATTGTCGTCTTCACAGTTCGAATAATAGTTGCAGACTGAGTCTATTAGATCGAGAAGATTCTCAATGTATGCAAACAACGACTGTACCAAACGCATTGTGTCGGTGTTTACGAGTTGTAATTTCCAAAACTAATTCTTTGAAATTTCGTCATTGTAAATAAGGGAACATATTCTATACGTTGTAGAATAGAGTATGCTTCTTGATATTATAACGAAACAATTATCAAAAGTAACAAAAAGCATTACGGATAATGCATTTGATACGAAAAATCCAGTTCGTTTGGTAACCAAGTCTACACGAAAACTTTAAAGAAGGAAGTGCCTTCTTATGGTTGAAGACCAAACCATGGCCGACAAAAACCATTTGTTGCTCTGTCGATCAGAGAGGTAAACTATATAAAACTCTTACCCTAAATTTAATATTCCTTCTGCAAATACACTGTTCTATATAATGTGAAACAAAATAATCAGATCGTTACAAAAGAAAAATATTTAAAGAATCTCTTAGGCATCGAAGAAACCACACCTCTATCGGTTAATGATCATCGCTTGTTAATGTTGATACATCCAGAAAACACGATATTCTCCCCGGACATATTGTATTTGTTTACATAGAAAGAAAATAAACTCGTTTAAAGGAGATTTTTGTTCCAAGACTTATAGAGGTCCTCTTTTGACTACATTGGTGTCACACGCGACATTATCGGCTCGGGATGGAACGCGAATGCAACGCTGTTAGCGGTGGAAATTAAAATTAAACCTGTCGACCGTTACTTTTTCCAAAACTATAAAAAAACTAAAGGTACCCGTTTAATAAGACGTAAGATGTAATTTTCTATATAGATTATAACAATATAGACAAGTTGTCCATTTATAGGACTACATGTCTTCTGTGATCTACTGTAAATATTGCAGCAGTATCGGTCGGTAGTACTGTATTGATTTCAACGAGTAACATTGATAATTACGAAAGTTATATTTCAACATTAACATTTTCATAAATAGCGATACAAATAATTTATAACATATCGATCGTTGAGAAGGTGGATGTACGTAAAACATAAGAGATGATAACGTATATCACAAGATTTAACAAAATGAATTTTATTTTGTGGGGAAACGGAAAAATGGTTTTTCTTTGTAGGTATTCGATGAGTGGCCAGGTACTGAAGTTGTACAATTTTCATGGTATACATTTCATGCTATATGCGATACAAAAATTAGATAAATACACAAGGCACGTGTACCTGTAATTAGTAATTATATCACATGCATTTAATCAACTTGGCATATATTTCTTGAACGACAATTAGTCGGAAATTCTGAGTTGCATATGACAATTCGAAGAATTGGAAAGTACTAGCCTATGTACAAAACTATAGGTATAGTTTCCTTGGCGTTAAAACAGTCTATACAGTTATACACTTGTAAATTCTGTTTGATGTTGCGAGGGATTATGGTATAAGCCAGCCATAGCTTCTTGTAACGCCCTTAAACATGCAACATGTGCCTTGAATCCACCTGCCCTTTCGGAAGAAGATTCACCACGTACGTAAGCAACGTAACCACGAGCTTGCAGTTCTCGCCAACCAGGTGGTGTTGGGCCATCGGTTGATTGTCGAATAGGAGTGTAAGAGTACAAAGGTCCTTCGTCGATTTTTGGCACAGACATATAATTCTGAGTTCCTTGGTTGCCAAACTTTATTCCTGTGCTAAACTGAGTAACTTTAGAAGTTACCGCTTTTGTTTCCTTTTTAGATGCTTGTATAGCAGATGCAAATGTTTCTACGATATTTTTTGCATTTCCTTCAGAAAATGTAAGTTCATCTATCAGTGCTTCCTTCTCTCGAATCTTTTTCTTTTTAGCTTCCATTTCTTCTTTAACCAATTCCATCCTTCTCTCCTCTTCCTTCTGCTTCTCCAACTCTATCATTTCTTCTAGCTCGTATTCAGTTCTACCAAGTTTAGATTTGCTTTTCGTTATTTGCTCTCTGTTGTCCTTCTTGTACTGGTCTATCTTTTTATTTGTTTCTATTACATCAATGTCGTTAGTTAAATTATATATAATTGTTTCAATTTCTTCTAAGTAATCGTTGTATTCTCGTAAAGATCCAAAGTCCTCTTCCTTTTTATTAAAGTCCCGAAGTATCCTCTTCCTTATGTTTACCTCTTTCTCTACCATCGGATCCTCGAACAATTGTACACGAAAATTTGCTCTACGTAAAGGAATTCTGCATTCTGGGCAAGATCCAGAACCTTTACAAGTACATTATATATATTAACATATTTATTTCAGGACATTTCTTTAATAATGTACAAGCATACTAACCTTTAAGAAACAACAAGTCTACACAGCTTTCACACAAAGTGTGTCCGCAAACGTTTACCATCATTTTCAACGATGGATTCCGATATTTGGTAGTCTTGCATCTTGGACAAGCTTGATCATCCATTTTTGCAAGATATTAAGAACAAGTATTAAACTTAACGCGAACCTACACTTATGTATTTTAACAGATCGATCGACCGGTTAACGAGTAAAACTATTTACAATAAAACGTATGACATAATTTCAACGTAGATTCAAATTAACTGACGTATCGCGTATAAACAAGCATTATAAAAAGAATTCAATCGTCACATTTCGTTGTCGTACGAAAGAACTTGCAAAATCACCGACCTGCGACATAACCTACAATTAAAACTCACGCCATACCGTGCAACTTGAACCGACTCGAACTAAAACACGAACAAAATCGATATAGAGAAATGGAGCGCAACGTGTATCGATAATGCTGAAAATGTTTACGACCGCGACATAAACTGCAATATCTGTAAAGCATGAAGTACGATAATAATCGTACACAATTGCTGACAATTGCAGTGCATTTCCATTCGCTCTTATTGATTGATCGAAACGCGAGACTGTCGATAAACGGAGTACTACAATCTAAATTAAAGGAAACACGCATACTACGAAATTTATTACATGTACATGTTTTGTTTTATTTCCAAAGTTAAACTTTGTTCGAAAGTACAGTTTACTTTAAAACACATTTCCAGCTGATGCCGTTCAACTCGGAGGATTCGAGGATACGATTTTTCGTTTTTCTTATTCCCTCTTAAATGCTGCACACGGAAACGTAAACGCATTAAAAGATAAACTTGTCGATGAAACGTGCACGGAATGTTTTCCATTCAGGGGGAGGAATCTTCGCATTTTCCGAGAAAGTTTCGATCATCGAGCGTCGTTACGTGATTACCGAGGCAAAAGAGACGGAAAAAGGAAATCCCGGTGAAAAGAAAACTCGAGTCGAACCCCTTGAGACCGAAGTCGTACGTCTCTTGTGCGTTTCACTTCTAACGATTTGGGCCATCGATTTTTCTTTCAATTCCAACGTGTAGATTGTACATTAAAAAGTCGGCAAGAAAGAGATACAATGCATGTCCATTATGCAGGAAAGAACAAAGGGGTGGTATATGCTTTGGTGCCTCTCGCAGGACTCCCCTGTTCCTTCTCGGTGATGTTACAGACACCCATTATTCAAGCCTCGGAGTAAGACCGACGCGACATTCCGTAAAAAATGCGCAACGACGTTTCTTAAGTAAACGGAGTTACTCTAAGCTCGGCTATAGACCGAAGCACCCCGAAATTTCCGAGATTAAACGAAATCTTGTTCCAACGGGATTTCCTAAAGTGAGCACCTCATTATTGTGTTTTCTCGTTTCATGGAAATTCGCATAAATACACCGCACCCTTTAGCGTTTAAATTTTGGGAAAATTTAAATACGCTGCTCGTTATACGTACAGAGTATACTCTATTAAGTTAATTCAAATCTGTATAGAACTAGTACACATTGAGCAAACAAATTTTTAGCCAAATTAGTTCGTAGATAACGAGATCGCTAATTCTTATCTGACCAGTAACGAATTAAAAGTTAACTCTGTACTCGTTAATCGAGATTTTTATTAAGATAAGAATTTTGCCCATCTCTGTTCGAGACTCGCCAAAGTAGAACCTCGATTAACCGTTGTAATGGGGCTGAAATTGCCACGCATAAAAAAGTTTCACGGATGAAAAAGCGAAATGAAACGATTAAAAAGAATTACTTATTTAATCATTGTCTCGAGCTTCTCGAATTTTTTTATTGTTCCCTTCACGGGCATTATATCATTCTCTCCTGTGTTACAGATTCCGTAACAGGTTAAAAAAATTTGTTGCAGACTTAACCTAATAAAAATGCCGGGTATAAAACATTAACCTCTCAGAGAATGTTGTACGTTAGTTTCCCGTATACGATCCCATAGACAGACCCGTTAGAAGCATAGTAAACAAATATTTACAATGACACAATATAAGAGAATTTTTGTATATTTTCCATAAAGTAACTCGTCTCTCGAGAGATCGAAATTAAAGTTTTTGATAATCTACTCCATTACGCAAACATCCCCAGAGATTAATTCTCTTAAACATCTCACTTTCACCTAAAGCCCTGTCATCTATACAGTGTGTCGTTCGTGGCAATCAACGTGTTAAGGTTATAAAGTAAGGGATAATCGAACTCCGAACATATTTTTTTATCGAGCAAAATCGACGGTTTAGTCGGGATTCAATGGTCAAAACACTCGAGGAAACTGCCGATCGTTTTGTCGACTGGCTTTCGTTCGTGTCGCGAAACGACACGATAAGCTCGATTTAGTCGTCACCGGGAAGGAACGAGGCGAACGAGTAGCTCTGCTGCATGATATTTGTTACGGTAGACGAGGCGTATTGGTGCGTGACACGTGTACGACAACGACGACACTAGAACGACGATCGGCTCGACATGGAATTCGATTCTCGACTAGGGATGCTGCACGGTAGCGCGACAGCAGTATGCGTGCGTGTAATAGAACCAAAAGGGATACACGCTTGCGCCGGACGGTGTCTACCCCATCTTCCCGTTGACTTCGAGAGAGGGAAAGCGGGGCGTGTGCAAGGACAGATGGCAGGGCGTCTCTCCCGGGCCGTGTCGCATGCACTATCAGTTTCGCTCGGATGTTCGTACACGAGTTTTATCGCGCTCTTCCACGACGTTCGCGTTCGTGAAAGTCGTACCGTAGACACCCTCGTTCTTGTTGCACGTTCTTTCAATCGTGGAAATTAAATCAACGTCGTAAACGCGAACGTTCCGCGAAGGCGAATCGGTTTTTGGGTTAGGGAAAATAGTGTCGTCGTCGTCGGGGGCTTCCGATGGATGAAATTGCTGACAGTTCAATTTGCATAACGGAAATGGTTTAAGAAGAAAATAGGAGACTGATCCAGATATTTCTTTTGTTCCATCAGGCCTTTTGTTTTCCATTTTTTTTTCTTCTTCTTTTTTTTTTTTTTCCCCCAACGTGCACGGACTGATCGAACGATCGAACACGTTCGTTGGTCAATTAACCAGTAGCAAAGGGAGGAATGTGGTAGCGGGAACACACGAGTGGAGCGTGTATCGAGGAAACCAGAGGACTATGGGAAAGAAGTATCGGGGACGTTTTCTATGCATGCCTACACATAAATTGCGAATTGCTGTGACATAATGGCGACATCGAGCGAAAAACCCAAGGAAAATCGGATGGTATCGATTCGTCCGATACTTTCGCCCCGCGATTTCGATTACGCGCCTTTGTCCCGAGATGCAATATAGAAGAATCGTTTCTGGATTATTACGCCGTGGTAGGAGGAGATTAACGAAGCGCAGGAAGGGATAATTCGCGATTAATTGGCGAGTGAAAGTCGTGGAAGAGCCGGCGACGCTGTGAAATCCCATTGTCGAGGAAACCGAGAGGATCGCGGTGGGTGCATCTTCGATAGAGCGAGGGATACATCGTACAACATCGTGAATCGACTATGAGAGAGAAAAACAAAAAATGAAGGGTGTACTGTTTGCCCTGAGTCTGTTGTTTTCGGGTAAGTACACGAATCACCTTTGAAATGTTAAAATTCAGGAAATCAGGAATACCGTATCACTTCTAAATAATCCGAGTGCTATTTCTGTCGAGTAGGCGTGCTTTAACGTTTCGAAAGTAAGCAGCGATTGGTATTCCTGGACTTTTTTTAATTTTTCCACGATGTACGGAGAATGTAAGGCGACGAGGTTGTTCTTTCGCGCGAGACGAATGACAATTTTCATTCGTGGTACGTTTAATCCTCTGTTGCATAATGTGCCCGAGTAGTCACACAATGAAAACAATTCCCGTTGACCTCTTCGTGTCCCGGAATCAGTCTCGGCCAGTTTATGTTGGTATCGCGATGTCAGCTGCGTGATTCATTTTCTCGGATTGTATTTTGCAGAGTCAAGTAGCACAGTAGTACTCGTGATTGTTGCAAATATAAATACCACCGCAAATGTTAAATCGTACGCTTTTAAATTGTACAGAAATATTAGAAACGAAATATTAGCCTCGTAGAAACTTTCACGAGTCTGGCAGTCAGCGTGTTGATGTTGGTACATCGCGTCCAACCGTGTTACCGGAACAGTTTGAATTAAATTTCGTACACGAAACAGACTGACGTGTATACGTTAATAAAAAAAAAAAAAAAGAAAAAAAAAAAGAATACTCGTCGTTCAACTCGAGTATTAACGAACGAATAACTAAATGAACAAGAAATATACCGAAACGAGAAAATCTGAACCACGAAAGGTTAAGTAATAAAGCCATTCGATGTAGGATTAACACGTTGACTGCCAAACCACCACTCGTGAAACTTTCTGCCAGGTTAAACTTTCGTTTCGAAACAATTGGAAACCACGTAATCTAACATCCGTCGCGGTATGCAGTTTCGTAATCTCTAAAAATTCACGAATTTCGTTCGAATTTATCTTCTTTCCCGGCGATACCTTCGGAATAATTTTTTTTTGTTTTCTTTTTTTTTGTTTTTTGTATTTCATTAGCGAAAAGCCCCGGCACGCGTAGATGAGTGGCGCGACGGTCGGTGTGTTAATAATTCGTTTAAGGGAACGCAGGTAAAGAGGCGGTGGGTTAGGTCGGGACGATATAAGAATAAAAATGCCGGGGACATTTGTTATAACAACGCGGGTGGAGCCCGGGCATCTTTCATTCTCCCGCGGTGCCACGAAGAAACAGAAAACGACTAAAGGGTTCGCCGCGACGATACCTCTCGCTCACTGTCACGTATTATGAGATAAAGTAGTTTCTGAAACTGCAACCAGAAACTTCAGCGCTCACTTTAATACTTTATGACGAAGCGTAGCGGGGTCTGTGCACGAGTGAAGGGGAAAAGATATATCGCGACTTTTACCATCGGACCGACGGTTCGAGACACGTTAAAATGATTTCTTACCGGTCCCGGGCCCGCGCGTCGTTCTAACCCGCGCGATAGTTTCGGTGGTAAACACCGAAGGAGTTAACAAAATTCCGATAACGAACGACGGCAACGTGGCGAGCATTTCTCTTGCTGTACCGGTCCGTAAGCACTCTCCACGGTGCGACGAAGCACGGGATACAACCTCTCTCGGGTCAAAGAACAATCCGCCGCTCCCCCGTCGCGCAATCTGAAGATTGAAAACTGGCCCACTTGAGAACTGGTCTTTGTTGTTTCCCTTATAAGCGCAAGGACTCGCCCGGGGTACGTCCGATCACGGAATGTACGAGAATCGTGCACTGGAGACGCTCGATCGGGGACCATACTTCGACGTTACGGCCTCTCGCAACGTCACAGCGTTGGTCGACAAGACGGCCACGCTAAACTGCAGAGTTCGTAATCTGGGCGATCGTACGGTGAGCGACCTAATATTACCTATGAAATAATTGCGTATCGCGTATTTATTTTATGTGTCAAGGATACACCGGTTGCCTTATTACACTACCGAGTGTCGCTAAATTAATAAACATGTAACCTTTCCGTACATTTGTACCAAAGTGTAACTAATTTACTTTTTACATCTTTTGGACGGCATTCGTCTTACAGCTAGCTTATTTTCATTAATATTAATGTAACGCAAGTGTCCGAACGAGGAGTTTTTTGGATTTTGGAATTTTTTTATTTCTTGTTTTTTATCCGGGAGTAAGGATAATTATTTAACTATAATTCAGGAGTTGAAGTTGTATTTATTCTCAAACATTCGTATTAACAATTAAAACTAGTTTTTATTAATCTGACTTGATATTTTCCAATGAGATTTTTTTTTTTTTTTTTAAACACATAGTACCTTTCCTATGAAACAAGTGTATTATTTTAACCTCTATTTCCAGCCCTTTCTACCTGGCTAGTTTCTATTCGTTTCTACTTTAGAAGTACTCTGTGCTAAACTAAACACCGAGATAGCCGTCTATACAATTTTTCTCTAAATAATTTACTTTTTATCAAAATGTTTGTTCTTATTTTAAGGGGTTAGTCGCAGTCAGGAAAATGGAAACGGATAGTTTCTCGTGTGTGTGTGTTTTCTTTAGGTATTAAGTAATCATTTTTATTAATGCAATGTAAATATATTACAAAGTATGTCTTAAAGAACTATAAAAAGAAATTTTTGTTTTAAAAAAAGGTTAATTCATTTCGTCATAACAGGCGATGACGTAGACGATGATTTAAAAACATAGATTTGCGGCGAGCAAGATTTCTCCACACTGGTTTACCTGAATATAAAAACAAAGGTAGATTTCGAAAATGTATCAGACTGACGGGTCCCTGATCGAAGGATTTTTTATTTTCTTGTATACTTTTCTTTTTATCCAGCATTGAATCGCTTAATTTTAGCGAAAAAATTGAACATCAACTTGAAATGTACGGCATCTTGTTTGAAATTAATTTTTTCCAAAATCCTTCGTTCAGGCACCCGCTAGACTAATCTATTTTCGAAATCTACGTTTGCTTTTATTTTCAGGTAAACCAGCGTAGAGAAATCTTGCTCGCCGTAAACCTATGTTTTTCAATCATCGTCTACGTCGAAAAATGTTTTTTAGTTCTTTAAAACCACGCTTTATAATATACTTAATCGTTACTTATGGAAAGTATTATTTAATAACTGAAAAAAAAATCATAATAAAATGTCGTTTTTCCTCTTCCCGACTGCGGCTAAACCCTTAAGTTATCACTGTGTTACGAAGCATTTAAGACTAATATTTTTATGCGACGCCTCTTAACAGCGCGCTGGGGTAACGTTAATTATAGCGACGGGACTGTACAACGGCGGTATTTATCGGCTGTCAACAAGGTTGGAAATTCGATAATTCGGCGAAATGTGTATGCATATAATTCGTTGGTTAGTAGCTCTATAGAATACCGCGCACCGTGTACAAGCCACCCGTTAAGAATACGAATTAGTAAGGGTCTGAACAAAGGGATCACATCGCGGATAACGCAATCTGATACAATAGAAGTTGGCCCATCAAGGGGTAACTGTATAACAAGCTGGAACGAAAGTGTTTCGCAGTACGTTGGGTAAGAAGGTAAAGTTTCGTTTTTTGCATCGCTTGTTTGTAGCCTTGTTCTCGTATTCGTCGAAAGAATTGAAGTAAAAATTGAACACTTCGCTCTTTTTTCTTTCTTCTTCTTTTTGTAGTACGCACGGGTGAACGGTTTTTACGTCTCCCTTGAGATTTCCCTCTCGCCAACCATCGCACACGTACAGTCGAGGGATGGGCATAGTTTTCATTCGAATAAAAGAAACTCCAAGTAAGCGATAAAAGATAAACAACTTTCGAACCGTTGTTTGTTCAGTTATAATTGAAGTCTGCGCTACGTACTCGAATGCGTAATCAATTTAACTTCAATTAATTCATTTAGAGAGAAACGTGTGTATATCGTTAAGTGCGTTTTATTAGTATTATAGAAACGTAACCTCAATTTTAATTAGCCTTCGCACGGCCTGCGACTAACAAGGAACACCACCCAATTGACCAATCTCCAATTTTCACGAAACTTGGCACACGGATAGAGCACTAAATAATATTAAACACGTGTGCTTTCCATTGGCTGGTGTTCGCGTTCGAGGGATTATAACTACCCTCGCAATTGCGAACAGAGCAAATATTTGGAATAATTTTTTCGAAAAACAGCCATTTCGGCTATGGTATTGCCGTGACCGGGTCAACAACGTCATCAAAGGGAAATTAACAAAAAAAAAAAAAAGATATGAAAAAAAAAATTTGATTTTTCACCGGCGACTACGGGATTGAAATAAAAATTGCATCGAGTAATACGTGGCACCGCGGTACGTAGATTGCAGCCAATCGGATGTTTATATCAAATCGACGTGATTGGTGGCGCTACCTGTGCCACTTCGTAAAATTTTTATTCGAATCCGTCCAATATTTCGATAAATTATTCTTCTATATGTTCTTAAACGTCTCGCTGAATCGCTTAATTGATGAAAAATGTCGGAACGTACCGTACACAGTTCTCCATTTTTGTATCGTTCCTCGTGGAGCAGTATCGATAACGCTTAGCGCGCGTTGTTTCCAGAAATGGATTTTTTACCGTGGGAAAAAATTTCTCGGTGAAAAAGAATCACGTTATCCTGAAAAGCGAAGCATGGCACGTAACAGCGTGAATGGGAAGAAAGATCACGCAGCGCGGTAAATACTGGCATCGGTGCTCCGTGAAGCTACTTATGGCGGTGGGATCCCCCTGCATAATTTATCGAACGGTGCCTTTTCAAAGTCGCGTGTCTGTTGAAAGTTTTAAACGAACGTTAAATTTTCATACGAGCCACGGGGGCCCATCATGGTTCGGCTTTAATTGCGAGTAACATTTTAAGCTCTGCTTGAATTTTAAACGATCCGCCAAGGCTCGTCTGGCCAACTTGCGAAGGGTCCAACCGCTCGATAAGTATCCTCCGATCCTAGATTCCTGACGAACAGACCAACTATTGCAAATTAAACGAACGCCGACCAATTCGCTTTACGGCAAACGCGATTAATTACGTTCGCAGATCTTTTACGTTCCTAGACTTTTCGAAGTTGAGATTAATATTTGTTTAGCAATATTTGGAAGCAATCAAAGAAAAAGTATCCACGCTACACGCGTATAAAAACATATTTGCCACGTAACCAGTACCGAATAACGTAGCTTCCAAGTAAACGGCGCTCGAGTGTCATGCGACCTCGGCAAACAGGCGTGCATCGAGGCTTCGACTGCCTCATGTATGTACGAACTTGGTCGATTCTTCGAATTTCGGTCGAATATTCCCGAGGCACGTAGTCAAGCTTACCATGGAAAATTCCAGAGAAGGAATCGATGTTCTTTTGCCCTACAGAGCAGAGAGCAAACGGTCGAGTACTGAAACGTATGTCGCATCTGTTACTTCTTACGGGGGGTGTTTGATCCGTGAAACGAGCATCGGATATTAAAATTGACTCGGATTCGCGAGAGCATATAGATTTTAATCCCATCGCTAGCGGTTAGTGGCAAGGCTCCTTAAGCAAGTGGAATTTAAAGCCAACGGTGGAGTGTTTTCATCGCACACTGTTACCCGTGGTGGTCTCGTCTCATTAATATTCCTTTGTGAGCTGCCGTACCGATTATCGGTGCGTTCTAAATACTAATTTATAGCCTATTTAGATACGCGCGCGACAGGGCGCGAGTAACACACAATTTAACGAGGGGGCGGGGGGTAACAACAAATGGCATTAAACCATCAGCGTGCAATCAATGACACACGCTGAAGGCCGTGAAGTATGATCGTTTCACCGGACTCCATGACTACGTGTGCATCGTCTAATGCATATTCAACGCTCCTCTCCCAACACCTCTTCTACCCTCCATAAACACACGTTCGGCCCGATACCCGTGTGTGTACACGGGGTAAAAAGTTTTGTAACGACGGGGTTAACGTTTAATAATTATTTAGGCGACAACAATCGGTGTCCAAGCGACGTAAATTGATGTTTGCCAACGTATCATCTTCTTCCAGCAGTGTTTCTCAATCTCATTTCACTCCAGGCATCCCGTTTATCTCCTCAACCCAGTCCATCGTTACCGGTTTTTTTTTTTTTTTTTTTTTATTTATTTATTACACAAAATTAAATCAATCAGCACGTTGTAGTATTACACAAAACTTAAACCTAGATACGATTACTATATAAGCACAGTATACATGTTAGTATAACCATCGTTACCGTTAATCGCTAGAGATCGTCGCGCGTGAATCGTTTATTCGTAATACACGATATTAACAAAATAAAACATCGCCAGCTCGAATATTCGTCTTTAATACAACGTGTATCCGCTTAACATTCTCATTGTACGCTTTTAATAACGCTAATGCTTTCACATGAATTAAATTTCACATCAAAAGAACCGGAATGCATAGCCATGCAATGCTCTTTCTACATCGCGATGGGCTTACGAAAGAAAAAAAAAAAAAAAGAAAATAACACCATAATCTCATTTAGAAAAATACGAAATTAAGGACTCCGTTCGGAAGTTTAACGCTCGGTTAATAAAAGTTGAGAATGAATTTGTTAAACTACGCGCACGCTTTTAAACGAGACCGGCGTATTTTAAACAATTTGACAGGCTCGGCTTGGAATTTGAAAGCTGGGGCTTAAACTTCAAAAGGGTTTTCCCTGGATCATTGTGAGATTATTTTTCACAAAATTGCAAAATTTCGATGCCGGCTATTTTTTACGGGATTACAAAGTGTTCCGTTAATTGTGTTGCGGAGAGTATATTGTGAGAGTATATTGTCGCATTATTGGCATTGTTTACTGAAATCCTTTCGGCGGATGGCGGACCTTTCGCTAACTTATCAAATATCCGGTTATAGCGTTGTAGGAACGCACAGAGTGCCACTTCTCCTCGTAAAATCGTGACGGTTACGAGTTTTCCATGACAGGTAGAATTTGATAAAGCCAGGTTTAACCAAACATGAACTGGGAAATCCTCGGAAAAACAATTTTGCTGTGCGACAGTGCGACAAAAATTGTTTTTCAATAATTGACGAAGCTTTTACGTGGTGTAGGAATTAATTCTGTAATTCTACGTTCGATCATTTAAAACTTTAATTTAATTGGACAACCCAAGTGTCAACCCATTATGAACATCACATGCAGCGTACTATTTCGCTTATCGTTATTCTTCTACGATTATTACAACTACTTGTTGTACTTGTAATTTGTTAGAAGATAAATAAGAAGCAAAATTGTACAAATTTTAATGGCCATCAGGTTGAGACTTACAGTCGGTGTAAGAAGTATTCGTACAGCAATCGATTTAAAAGAAAATTAATAAGAAAAAAAAATACACAAGAGGTTAACATTATAAATACTAAACTTTAATTTACCCAAATTCTACTCTAAAAATATGTAGGAATGTTGGTTAATTATTTCTTCCCCTAAAATTTACTAATAAAATATTAGGTTGTCCAGAAAGTTCGTGGCCAATTTCTAAGAAACATTCGAAGACACATTTGCATTTTAATATATATTCATTGAATTACGTAGGTGTCATTTTGTTCCACAACCTTTTCGCATTTTAAGGGATGTATGGATGTTATTTATTTTCAACCACATCGATAAATTCAGACCTGTACCACCTACCAAAAATCGACATGGACTTTCCGGACAATCCAATAAATATATGAAGTTTTATTTCGAATTGTTTCCTGTACGAATACTTATTACACCGACTGTAGGTTGAACTAGAGTTACTAAAAGAAAATAATAATAAATGCAAAAGCAGTAGCCAGCAGTTGAATTGGTCGACTGCTTCTCCTGCTTTTAATCAAGTTTTATGGTTTTGTTGGGCAGCACGTTACGTTACATAGTATAGACGTAGCTTTATTCGCGACTCGTAAGAAGTACGGCCCACTGGGAGCCATGTGGCTCCCGTTGAGAAACACTGCGCTGGAACGCCGAATTAATTGCAGTTATTCACGGTATCGTTGTCGCCCTGGTAACAGCACACTTCTTGCAAAACGTACGTGCACGTACGCGCCATCGACGCGAATCTGCATCGAGCGTTTTTCACGCGTCGGATAATACGCGAGAGAATAAATACGTTACAGTTTTTTTTCTTTTTTTTTTTTTTTTTATCTTTTCGTCGGGACACTGCATTGTGAATTTATACCGATGCTTCGTCTTCCGTCTGCGGAGGACGTTATTGTTCGAATTAAAGCCAGAAAATACGACGGCCTCAAAAAGCTGAAATTATTCGACACCGTGAAACGTCGAAAGAAAATAATCTGCTAGACCATTCCGGCACGTTGCGAATATTATTTAACGTTGCGCCTGACAGACATCAGAGAGGGTATCAGCTTCAATCGTTATTCATTCAAACGCTAATCCTCCGACGCGAGTTCAATTTAATGTTTAAATGGATTCGCACGCAAAATTGTGCAGCGAGCACAAGTTGATCCGCTTTGAAAGCGCTTTCCGTCGATCCGTAAGAAATGCTTCCACTTCGGTCTTGCTTAAATAAATCATAGGCCTTAGCCACCTGTAGTCTTCGTTTAATCAAACTTACAGCTTCGCCCGAACAATTTCGAATAAACTTTTGCCTAGACGAAACGTATCTATGCGAAACCATTTATCCAGACAGTCGAATACAAGGGAATTGTATTTTGCGTGATAAATATTCCTTTCGAAAGTATCGTTGTTCGATAGAAAAGATTTCATGATATTTATCGATCGATACGATAGAGAAACGAATCAAAGTTCGAAAGGGAGGTTCGCGAATCGAAAGAGGTTGAAAAATGATGACCCGCGTAAGAAAATAAATCAAATCGGATTGTTCGTAACGGCCAGAAAAGTTACTTTCGTAATAAATATTTCTTGTGTATGATCCAATAGGTGTCCTGGGTGAGACACAGGGATATTCATCTTCTAACCGTCGGCGTCGAAACGTACACCTCTGACCAAAGATTCGTGGCGTCGCACTTTCCACGGACGGAGGATTGGACGCTGCAAGTGAAATTCCCTCAGCCCCGTGATTCTGGAATCTACGAGTGTCAAGTGTCAACGACGCCGCCGATCGGTCATTCCATGCATCTCTCGGTCGTCGGTTAGTTCGACACCTTCTACGTTCTTGTTCTATCCCGCTGTTTGTTTTCGTTTCGCCTTCTTCCAGCGGAATCGTTCATTGGTCTTGTTTTCACCGTCGTTACCCGTTTATTTTATTTTCTCCGAACGTCCATCAGGATTGCGTCTAACCTGGCGCCGGGCGCTCTCGCGTTTCCCGGGAAAATCGAGCTTGCGTTACAACGGTTTTCCAATTCCGAATCTGCTTTGAATTTCAATCAAACGGTTTTTTCTCTGGTTCCGTTGCCTGCAGCCAATTTGTGTGTTGTCCGTGACCCGGGACGAATCTGAGAATAATCAAAAGGACACGATAGCGCTCGCCAGTGGTGCGCAACCTTTTTTTCGTCATCGTGAAACGATACGTTTCTAAGCGACGCGACGTACAATTTATTCAGCGATGGGCAAAAGTAATCGCATCTTTCCGAGTTGCGTTTACGAATACGACCGTATTTTTAAACGTTCACAGTCGCAGAAATTCTTTACCTCAAAGCCGACGTCAGATTCGTGTTCCTCGCGTTCAAAAACTTCGAAAACCATGCTTTTGTCGAAATAAAATTTTTTTAGAAAAGTTACCCTATCTAGGCTCTGTTCGACGGGCACGAATTTTAATTGAAAATTTTTCGTTTCCGATTTCGACGAATGCATGGTTTCCTAAGTTTTTTGGGGATGAGGAACACGAATCTGAAGTCGGTTTTGAGATAAAGAATTTCTATGGTTGGAAACCTTTAAAAATACGGTCGCAATCGCAGAAAAATTTGTCATTACGATTTTGCCAATCCCTGAATTTATTTAACCTCCGCTCACAACAAATGTGTTTTTCTGTGTTTAGAGCCTGTGACGTCGATCGTCGGGGAACCAGAGATGTTTATAAACAAAGGCAGCACCATGAACCTAACCTGCGTGGTGCGTCACAGCCCTGAACCACCCACCGCCATTTACTGGACCCATGATCGCGAGGTATCGCATTTTTCTATCTCTTGATATTCGAATTTAATTGGAATGGAAGTCGCGATGTCGCACGACTCGAATATATTAACGACAGAGCGTGGCCGTTTAACGGGCAATTTTGACGAATCGCGTTTAATCGAGAAAGTTGTGCAACGGAACAAAATGGCGATAACAGCGAACGAAACTTTCCACGTGGGGGGTGTGTTCGTGTATCGCGAACATTGTTCGCGACGCGCACGTTGAAGTAGTCGTATCGGCCACTTGATTAAATAATTTCACCTAACTAGGTTAAAGGAATATTTGAGCAACGCTCGGCCAGGGTTACTTTTCAGACCTTTTTTTTTCACCACCGATAATGAATATCCCGTGTACGCGTGCATTACCGGATAACTGAGAGCTATGCTACGCGCACGCGTTCACGCATAGATATGTACATGTACAAACATTTGAATTTGCGAATAGGATAGAAATTATTCAAGCCGCAGTTTATGAAATGAATTATTCAATTATTTCCCAAAGAAGCGGTTACCATGCAGCTGGCTGGCAGAACGAACGGTTGTATCTTTATAAATTTACATGCTCGTTGAATTTTGATTGCGTTGAAATTTCGGAAAATTTCCCGTCGACCTTTCGGACACTTCAAGGATATTCGGTACGCGGTACAGCAATTTTTATGGTATCTTTTATTTCGCTTTTTTTTTTTTTTTATTATTATTGATATTTCACTTGCCATCGCTCGTTTAGTATTCATTGCGTTTACCGTGCCTTCTCTTTTAGCAGCTAGCGAGCCTTCAACTTCAACCATGTGTCCGTATACACAGGGCGGGGCAATGCCAACGTATACAACGGATTTCCAATTGGCGAATTCACTGCGATTGATATGTTAAAATCAGTAATTACCCTACTCAAATTATTATGGACTTGTTTGATAAACGACGTAAACGTATCAAGTGGCAGAGACAAAAGAGCATTTCACGTCGAATTAACGATGATTACGAATGATAATAATTAAGAGTGTAATAAATGCATGCCACCGATAAATAAACACTCGTCGCGGGATTTACGAACGACTCACTAGGGATCCCAATGGGCACCGGGAATAAACGAATCGCGAGTTTGCAACAACCTTTATTAATTTAACAGATGTAAATTTAACAAGTGGAAGTTTGAACGCAACTGGTGCAACATGAATTTGCTTAAACAGACGTCAGACTGAAAGACTGACTGAACTGACTTTGGAACTTGAAACTAACTGCCGAGGAAACGCAATGGGTTTTGAAGGACTCTGAAAGTAGAGTTGGGTGGGGAGAGAAAACGGGGCAGGATTTCAAATGTTCATGGATACGAATATAAAGCGAACGACGAAAGTACTTATCATCTTATTTATACTATAGGTAATAGAATTTTTTATGTTAAATATACTCTTGACTTTATTATTCCGTTATGGTACTCGATCCTTCTGAAGTCTCTCGGTCTTGGCGACGCGTTCTACCTTATAAAAATCCCCGCGAATAGTTTGGCCAGAGTTTAAATCGAGACCTCTCGGTTGCCGTAGATTCGAAAAGCACATTTCGAACGGTAAACGGATTACGCGGTATCGTACCTCTCTTTGAACAAACTTATACAACTGCCAGTCGGAACACAATACGGACGTAATATTACACGGTTTGCTCGTTATCGACCGCTGTTGTTATTATTATTGCAATAATTATTATTAAACCACTTCAACGCGCGCGTGTGGGCGTACCGATGAACGCGCCACGGGGTAGCGTACGTGCATATGAAAATGATATCAGAACCTTAATTTCTTTACGAGGAATTTTTACTTAAAAATAATAGGTCGATTATCCTATTTGGTAATTTCCGCTTCTGCTTACGTTTCCGTTATTCCGTCTAACAAGTAGACATCGTCGAGGATTCCGCGAGCTCCGGGGCAATGAATAAAACTATCTATCCAGTCATTCGCGCCCTTTCCCTTTCCCTCGCCATTGTGCATCTTCCATTCGAACACTCCATGCTACTTTTTTTTTTTTTTTTTTTTTTTTATTCTTTCTTTCAATTCTTTTGCACGTGCTCCCTTTTGTTTTCCATCTTCTCTACATTCTTTTCTACCATCCCGTCCTTGCTCCCTCACTTTCGACTTCCTCCTCGGTTACTCTTGCTCTCGTACCACCGTTTCTCCGTCTCGCTCCCTCTCGGCCAGCCGCATTGTCTTTCCGTCCATCCTTCTTAAGAGTGTCAGTTCTCTCTGCCAGGCCTCGCGCTTTGTGTACCACCGCGTCTGTCTTTACAATTCGCAGCAGTTCCACTGTCTTTCACATTTTTACCCCCGTTCTCTCTCGCGCCCATTATCTCTGTCACCTTTCTTACAACACACACACACACACACCCCCCCCCCGCACTTTTCCGCCTATCCTTCACATCATCGCACACACAATTTTCCAACGGCGTTCCACTCCGTCGTTGCCGTCCCCCACGCCCTCTCGTTTTCTCATCTTTTCTATCCGCCACCCTCTCGTCCCGTTTCGCTCCGGTCTATCGGCACCGGCGTAGCGACGGGATCAAAACCAACGCGAACTCATGCATTCGACTATCAGTTCCGTCGCGCGAGCATCGCCTCGAACGCTATCCAAAAGAAACAATATCGCAAAAAATTGGCGCCGAAAATTTGGCAACGATCGAGCAACCCATTCAACGAATGGAAGCCTTTCTTATACACCATTCCGCCGTCTATCGCTCGAATCAGGTATCAGGCATTGGTGCTACGAACAATTGAAAATTCTGGTCAGGTAACCGTGGCTGCGCGTGAGGCAGATCAGTCAGAACGCGTTCAGTCCAGTGGCGGCCAAGGCACGATAGATTTATCAACGTGAAACGTGTACTTACTCATGTAGGTGAAAGCACTACGTTCTTGGTGCAATTTATGAAAAAGCACACGCGTCACGTTGCACGACATTAAATCTTTCTACCCGTGACATATCGAGACTCACCCGACGTGCTTTTCAAGCAGAGAGACCGAACGCCGTTTCCGATACATGAATTCTCTCCCGAAGAGTTACGGAGCGCAAGATGCTAAGAGGCAGTCTTCTTCCTCTTTCGCTAGTCAGAGGTCAAGGGGTTGGCGACGCCCTCCATTCTTCTTAATACTACTTTGTCTTACGTAACTTCAACGTTGTTTTAATACCAGGCTTGCAGTATCTCTTAACTCTCGTGTCTGTTTGGTCGGGATCTGCTGGTCCTTTTTATAACTCTCGAGACTTAGCAGAGCATGAGACACGCGTTACGTCTGCCGATGGACGTGTCTCCTCGAAATAGAAAACTCTCGCCTCGTCGTCGATGCCTTCGTTAATTCGGCGACCGTGTTTGCACGCGGAGGAGCTAATTCACTGCGAATACTATTCCTAAGTGCCTCTAAAGAGTTTCGAGTCTACTCGTCCACCGTTTCTGTTTCTCGAAATAACTGTATGGACACCGAATCCTGTCGGGCTGAATAGAACTCACCTGTATTGTGTTTCGGTCCCATCGCTACTACAGAGCCTTCTATCTCTTCTTTGTCACTCCATCGCCAGGCTCCTCTTCCATTCCGTTATTTATCTCGCCTGGTCCCCTCCAGACTCTCCGTGGCATTGTATCAGAGTCCTGATCCCCCGCAGACAGTCAACACCTGCAGTACACCCTCTACTCCATCCTGCTTCTTTCGCAACCCCTTCCCGGTGCTTTCTACGTTCACCTTTATCTCTTTCGTTTTTCTCCCCCAAGGGTCTACTATTTCAACCATTCTCCTCTCTACCTCTACGCTCCGTTTTTTGTCTTTCGATTATTTTTTTGCCTTTCCTTTTTCCTCTCTTTCTTCCTTCCTTCCTTCCTTTTTTTTTTTCTTTTTTTTTGCGGAACCATTTTCCCCAGCCACCGGCGTACAGGGATGCGCCGGCAGCGTTTCATTCATCGCCCATCGGCTCCCCAACGTTGTTTTCCACTCCTTGCATTCGTTTCGCCGCGCTTGTAATCGCCTTCGATCGAAAACTAAACGCTCGTTTCGTGTGGTCTACCGTTTCCCTCTGTGGCGATCCGAACAGGTAGGACGTTTCCAGCTTGATTCGCGTTTTCGAACCGTTCGCGATACCTGTTTCTCGCGTTTCGCGACGATTTAACGCACGTCTCGTACGAACGGCACATTTTTCGAGATTCCTGTTTCGTTCGGAGCTTTCGTTTAATGGACAGAGACGAGGGATGAGAGCCAGGCTGGAAGAACTGTATCGAGCAAAAGGGCGAAGTTCAGGAGACGCGAGGCTCTTGCACGGTGTAACCCAATTGGATGGAACCTAACCCGTTTTGGATGAGGAGCTAGGCGACTAGAATTTGTAATGCAAATTACGTTTCATTTGATATGCAAATAAGAATTGATTTAAACATGAGGTATTGTAGGAACCGAAGTTATCGAGTTTACTCTTGTTAGCAACGTTTCTTCATATTATTTTAAACAGCGCTGATAAAGAAGCATCCCGGTCTCGGTAGATCGACCCGTATTTACCTAGGAGCAAATGGAGTCGACCGGTCGCTCGTCCCGTAAAAATTGTAGCAACGGTCGCGTCGGTATAAATCTGTTTCTTTTTTTTGTTCCTTCGGCGTCGACGCAGCGTTGAAAGCTATCGGCTGATGAACGGGACGTTTTTCGAAGCTTCGATTTTGGAATCACCTCGAGTGCCCTTGTCACGGCGGCTTTGATTGCTTCGATGTCATCGTGTCACGGGGTCCTTTTCATCGGCATTTTCAGTTTTCGAAACTGAAAATAATCATATCACCTGTCGCCGTCGAATCCAAAAACTAGTTTCCCCCTCTGAGCTGTCTCCGACCTTCCGTAATCCCACGTAAACCCGAGTTCGTGTCTATCGACATTTTCAAACTTTGATGTCGCCCTTTTATCAGCGTGTGTCAGCATGTTTCTGAAGCAACAGCATCGCCAAAGAAACTATCTGCCGCAACAACGATTAGTTGTAGTTTCTCACCAT